ATTAAACATTAGATCTATTATACACACTTTTGAGTGTGTCAAACGAAACATTAGTTTTCTTCATTAAAACATGATTTCGGTAATAATAAATCTGTCTATTATGAAAAAAAAAAACAGAAACAAAAGCTTAATTCTTCGAAAATCATGTTTTCTACGTTTTTTTTTTGTTTCTATAACGGATCTTATCGATGGATTTGGACAGATTTCAATTCAGATTGCTACCGAGTCCCTAATGGTAGAGTCATGTTTGTGCTCCAATTTCTAAGCCTTATAGATCAGTATGATAATCAGAAGTTTTTGTAAGGTCATGTTACTGGAATGTTTTTGGTTATAGGGAGGAATTTTGTTGAGCGTCAAATTTTTGTGGACTTTCGGTGACTTGTTTAGGTGAATAGTGGTTTTAGTTTGTTTATGTAACCGTTTTTTAAGTGCGTTAATTTTAAAGTGAAATCCAGCTTTAGCATGACTTTTTTTTTGACAATAGATTTGTATTCATGCTCACTAATTTCTATCATAAATCTGGAAAATATGGTAAATTTTTGGTGTTATTATTGATAATATCTTCAAGTAATCTTTATCTATATCTAATAGAGGCTTCGGTAAATATTTTTCATTCTTCCACTGCGTTCAACTGCGTTCTTTACGGAGAAAATTAATCACGACTTTTTGCAGGCAAAACCACCTTCTTATTTACTTAAAAGCGACAACCAACATCACACCACACAAATAAATCGTGGAGCTAATTTGTAAAGTACATAGAGGTGACGAACGCATTATTTTTCCGTTTTTCACGGCATTTGACCCTATACTCGGAGTTTCCCCCAGAGAGTCCGGAGTTTGGGGACCCCTAATGACGTGTAAAATACTTTTAAGGGCACACAGCTGCAAGGGATTATAAAATGTCATCTTTGTTATCAATAGAATAGGAGCTGTTTTAGATTGATTTTGATTTGCATTTTTCTAGGGTTGGCTACCGGCCACGGTTGCAATGGCTATTGTTGAATTGAATTAGAAACATTTTAATTTAAGTCTTTTGTTGTTATTTAATTTAAATTATAGAATTTGGAAAAATAATTGAAAACGTCGAATTGTGAAATGTTCGAAGGATTGAAATGATATATGTATTAATTTTCTGATATAAAACAAGCGTTAAGGTTTCCTACAAATAAATAATTATGTTGCAATTAATTTTATATGTAGGTCGGCGCTTTCTTTCAAAGAAGAGCCGAGTTTTTGCTTTAGTTTAAACTGTCAAACACCAAGCGGACACCGGTGACCGCAACCTATTGTTCTATAATTGTGTCTATAATGACGGTGCTCGACGAGTTAATAAACCAACCGTTTTCTATGTCAGTAATAATTCAAAGAAGCGTTTTAAAATATAAATTAACTATTAATTTACTAAGTTACCAACACAGAGCAAGGATTAACACAAAAATAATTAATTAAAAATAACAAAACAAGAAACATGAAAGCAACATTTCGAAGTTTCAAAATGGCGGGTCTATCAACTGTCACTTTGACATTTCGAAGGGGGAATTTAATGGACGCGTTCGGATTTAAACGGGATTGTTATTTTAGAAGAATGGTGTTGTAGAATGGAGGGTAACTCGCTAAACATCCTATTCGATTAGATGTAGCGTGATTTGATTCAATGATTTTGAGATGTGTTCACAAAATTGTAATTTCATTAGACGATGCTATATTGATTGATTGGTTGAATTTAAATGATTTGTTTTGACAAGACCCATTTTAGATATGTATTGGTTAATTTTATTCTATGGTTACAATATCTTTAGCTAATTTTCATTGCTTTTTGTTTTTTTTTATAACAGATGAAGCGAAAAGAGCAAATAGCTCCATTAAAGAACTGACCGAGACAAACATTTTTTAATATTTAGATAAATATTATGTTTTCACGTTCAAAAGTGCCATCGTAGTCTAATTTTAAATAAATGATTTTGACTTTGACTTTGTTTCAACTTAAACCCATGGAATAGATAAACTATTTCACGTTTAAAACCACGTTCCTCGTTTAGGATACTGAGTCAAAATATCGATGACATTAAAAGAAAATCGTTGAGATATATAGGTACTGAGTGCCTATATAACAATTCCCTATGTAATAAAATAGGTAGCAACTAGCAACACCCACTGAAACGAGGGTTGCCAGCCTATAAATCATGTTAACACATAAATTGCGCTGGCAACACTGCCGCAGGGGTGCGAAACATGACAAGTTGTGATAGATTACCACTAAGGGAAAATAGGGCATCGCGAGTATGCAATTTTGTACCTTAAGACTTGGGTGATAAGAGCGAAAGGTTGGTGTTAATGTTGACAGTATGCAATGAGTTATTTTATTACCATGATAATGTGGCAGCCCTACAGTAGGGGTGTGCTAACCGAATTGAAATATATCTTATAAATTATTAGTTATTTGTTATAGGCTGAATGGGCCTTCCTAAATAATGTTATATGTAGTATAGGAGGCCGATAATTTTGTCAATGGATTCAAGATATTAAATTAGGAAGGGACATTGTGTGGTAATAAACTTCCTTGTAACTCTGGAAGGGATAGATAGAGACTTGAAACTAAGCTACTTTTAGTTATTGATACCTTGACCTAATTGTCATCAGTTCAATTTCCTAATGCAGAAGATAAATCTACCAAACAGGTTACTATAATTAACACAATGATAGCACAAAAAATAACACAGACTCTTAAAACGACGACTGTGGCACCTGGCTACTATAGACTTACACGCAGAATACACACACATTGGCACGAAGGACATCTGTCATTTTCTTAAGTCTGGTATCGTGGTAACCTAACACACGCACACATGAATACACCACTGACATTTTGGTGCTTCTATGATTTCTAAGTGACATTATGTTGGCTTGTTCTTTAACGTCATTGACTGGGAATAATAATATTAAACCCGTAATAACATTATGTTCCAAAACTGAACCCAAGCTTCCACGTTCGCTATAAGAACATTTCAGTCACTCCAGAACAAAGAGGTTTTCATTCCTAAGAAAAAATTACTCTCGCGGAGAACCTAACGGGTAACCGGGGCTCCGGCTCGGCGTGCAGGAGAAGGAATGGGGTGGTTTTTAGTCAGTAAGAGTCTGACACTCCCTCCCGCTTCACCCAGGCGGGAGCAGTCATTCGATGATTTCCCCCCTTAAAAAAAAAATCCAAGATTGTAAGACAAGGAGATTCGATATACCTGTCCCACTCTAGCATAGAGGATTAACTTATCGTGAAACGCCACGATAAACAAGTTCCGAGTGGGCTCCCGAGATAAGGACGGGGTTTCGATTCTCGGTTACAATTTATTTCTTTAATGACTGAGCATGTAATGTTAGGGGAGGGTTATATTTTGAGGAGCTAGTGGAACGGTTAATTTGTTTTGAGTGGTTCAAAATGAATTAGTTTTGGAAGTAACTGTTTTGGGAGTAGGTTAATAACTATCATGAGACATACTAAATTCAATAAAAATCGCGGGTTACTCACGTGAATATACTGAGAAAAGCTCTACTAGTTTCGAGTCACAGAAGGGTTCTTTTATATTTGATGGGCCGACGTTTAACCACTATCTCGCCTGGTGGTAAGCAATGATGCGGTCTACGGTGGAGCACGTAGTCCCATAAGCAAGCTATATGTATGCTCTTTTTCATGAGCAGCGTGCGCCATGTACCGACTGAGTATATTCACGTGAGTAACCCGCGATTTTAAGTTAGGTTAATAAGCAATATTGTCGTTTTCAAATATGAACTGATAGTGTCAAAAATTTAATGTTCTGCCTGTAGTAAACATTTTTAAGGAGTATAGATTACATTACCATTATAGAGACACTCTTTCTTTGAAAATTGATTTTCTCATCACAATTGTTTTAGATTCTTTCAATGTACAATTCAAATGTACCGTTTTATTTTCATTTAATTTTCTGCTTCAACCGGCTATAGTATCAAGTGTCAAGTCATCCTCTTAATTATTTATCGTAAATATATTCAGCGCGAATTGCTGTGCAAACAGATAAAAGTGAGCGCGTGCCAGACACGTGCGCTCCCTACGCCCTCTCACTTACGACTGACGACTTCAACTACCATAGATAATGAGGTTTCCGTTTTCTGTATTGAAATTAAAAGAAAATGTTTGACTGCCCACCGTTTTTATTGGCGTGTGACTTTAATTCATAGGAATAACATAGTTTAGAATTGTGCCTGGAGTTCAGTAATAGTTTCATCTTTAATATATATATATTTCTTTATTATATAATGGGGCTTAACATAAGTGTGTAGGTTAATCTCTGCATGTAACCGTATGTTACGGAAATATAGATGGAAAAATTAAAAGATAATCATGCTTGTCTATGCCACCAGAGTTATTATTATTTTAATATATTTAGTAATATTATTGTCATATTTAATTGACATGTAAGTTTTAGACCTATTGTGTTTAATAAATAGTCAAAACAAAATTAAACGGTTTTATATAACTTGATCTGTTTATTTGTTTGGATCAAATTTTGAAATTGGAATATTTCCCCCTTCTTGACCACAGATCACACTTTTTATTCTTTATGACCATATATTACTTTTTTAAATTGATTATTTTGGTATTGTTTGTCTTGTATATTATTTTATGTACTGTGAGTATAGATAGTATTTTATATGGTCTATTTAATTGAATGAAATAAATCACATTTATATTATGTATAAAATGTGAAAGTTTCTTTGTTTGGTTGTTTGTTCGTCAATGACGCTGAAACTACTGAACGGATTTTGATGAAATTTGGTATACACGCAGGGTATGCCAAATTTCTTGACTTAGGTGATAGGATACTTGTTATCCCGATTAAATGCATCCATGGGATAAGTACGTGGTCAAAGCCGCGGGTATTCCTGTTATATTTAATTTATAAACAATTATTTTTCTACATAATTATGGCAGTTAGTAAAGGAAATGAAAATAATATAGATGGACTTACTCCAGCTCCATGGTTTTTCATATTGATCTGGGAATGAAGGAAAAATATATATATTATCTTCTTGACATTTAATGACGGTAGTTGTGAATTTAGTTGTGAAATTAAAGAGGGGGTAGTTTAAGAAAAGGTGAAAAACATGTTAGTTTTAGGTAGCAATGCCATCGTTAATTGTTGAGTGAATTAATTGATTTAATACATTTAAAATAAAAATGAATTTGAATCTGAGTATTTTAAACTGTCAAACACCAAGCGGTCACCGGTGACCGCAACCTATTGTTCTATAATTGTGTCTATAATGACGGTACTCGACGAGTTAATTTGAAACACGATTTTAATTTGACTACACAAGAGAAACCATATTATATAAACTCCTAAATTAAACCCAGTTACTAATTCATATTGCCTTATTTTTTATATTTTCATCAACTTTTAAGGAATGCCTAAACTAAGGTAGGTGACACTCAAATACATGTTGGTGCTAACCAACCTATAAGTGAAACGTAACAGTACAATATGGGGTTAATTTAGTTGCCGAGTCCCCAAGCGGTCAGTCAGTTAATTGCTGAGACTTGTTTAATAATACTAAGTGTGGGAGAGCCATGCTTCGGCACGAATGGGCCGGCTCGACCGGAGTGATACCACGGCCTCACAGAAAACCAACGTGAAGCAACGCTTGCATTGTGTTTCGTCGCGTGAGTGAGGTTACCGGAGGCCCAATTTCCCTCCCCTTCCCCAATCTCCCCAATCCCTGAATCCCCAACAATCCTCAAACTCCTAATCCACAAATAACCGGTAACGCACTTGTAACGCCTCTGGTGTTCCAGGTGTCCATGGGCGACGCCGATTGCTTTCCATCAGGTGATCCGTCTGCTCGTTTACCGGCTTATGCCATAAAAAAAAAAAAAAAATAAAAAAATAAAAACATTAGAGAGCCATGCTAGGCTCTAGCATGGCTTGAAACTAGTCGAGTTCTTCGTCAAACAGTTACGTGAGTAAATCGTAAACATAATAATTAATTCGGTATATCTCACAGAAGTTGTAAAACAAACCAAAACGTAACGTTAAAAAAAATATCGCACCTTCCACTTCACGCCCCCTATCTCACCCCCACCCCCACATACTACAATTGCACTTGCTAAAAAAAACAAACAATCACCAAAAACAGTTTTCTGAGCAAACACAGTGTTGACTTTACAATTAGCGGCCGCAGGGTTGGGGTACGAAATGTCCCGGAGAGGAAATCGTCGCAGGGTTGAAAGTGTATCGCTTGCCAATTACCCTTGAGGCAGATTCGAGTGTTATGCGCCACGTGCCGCGATATATGCGTTTGGTGTCAAAATTAAATGGTGAATTTAGTAAGTGGCTGTTGTGGTACTTACCTACGATGATGGAGAGGTAAATTATGAGTTTATTAAGAAAAGGTACGATAAATTTATTCGATTGATTCCTAAGATACGTCTTGACACAACCGAGTAGATGACCTAACAAGCCAAATACATTTGAAGTTTTTATCTAAACTATCTTGTTTTTCTGAGCTATATCTTTTGCAATTGCAAAAAAATCTAGAAATAAAAACATATACCTACTTCTTATATTAGTCTCAATGACATCTCCAAAAATAATGTTCTTCAAAAGAAACCAACGTACTCAAAAACACTTCACTTGTTTTTTTATTTCATGGACAGGGTTAACCCCACGCGCGCCACCGTGGGTCTATAAAGCCCACAGCGCAAATAAACAGCGCCAGTGTTAACTTTCACACAGTGCCCCCTGATAAACAAAATGAATGTTTAATTGAATAATAATGAGAGTTCCACGATTGTGTTGTCTTAGGAGGGAATTGAGAGTTACTTGTTCTACTTAATGTGTGAGGAGTGCTTCATTTTAAATCAGCCATCTTTGATTAACACCATTAGTTACCGTTTATGGTTTCATTAAGATTTTCGCCTTTATATGGAATAAAGTTGACTTAAAAGTATAAAGTTATATAAAGTCTCTGCCTATCCCCATGGGAGACAGGCGTGAAATTATGTATGTATATTACATATGTAAGTAAATTTGACTTATTGAGTCGGTTAAAAATGACTGACAGATCATGGCTATTCTAAGACTAAAGTGCCTTTAGTAGGTACAAAAGTTGTTCATCAAATTAATAAAACAAGGAATTGCGTAGGCGGCCTTATTTACAAGGTAAAAACCATCTGATTGTTTTTTAATGGAACAGGGATTACAAAATAATTACTTATCTACTGTTTTCTTTGTTTATTACGGTTCTGTTATCAATTTGAGATTAAGTTACGTAGGTACCTACATTTTTAATAAACCACAATACATCTTTTCTTTTGATGAGGTATTTATTTCGGGATAATGTTGCGTTTAATTTATTTGTATTATAACCTTCGTGAGACATACTAAATATATGGAAAATAATAATGGTTCCGAAAAACAAATTAATCTCCAGCGATCTGTGGCCGACTATAAAAATGGATCTTCGAAAAACAAAACTAAACTTCCGAATAGAATATTGAACCTCCGATAAAATTTACTAAGTTACCGACAACAGACGTTTTAGGTAAGGTTAGGTTAGTATTGGAGCAATAAACAGTCATGTAAAGTAGTCGGAAAGTTAGTATTTTAGGCATTAGATTTAATATTTTCAGTAAGGCCAATTCTTCTTTTCTTGTCGTAGCTTTTATTACAACGCTAAATATATTAATATGTTTTCGGCTTACTCACGCAAACACTCAGTAGCAGCGCGACAATCGCAGCGTAGCGGGTCGCGAAATGCTGCTCATGAATATGAGCCTCTAGTATGGCTTGAAACTAGTCGAGTTCTTCGTCAAATAATTACGTGAGTAAGCCGAAAACATAATAATATATTTAATTTATTTGTTGGCTGTTTTTTTTTAAGTTGTAAAGTTAAGTGTTGATATTGCTTCTTGTATAGAATGGTTGGTAGTTTATCAATAATTTGAGAAGGGTCAATGTATTACATCCATATTTGTTTCCTAATTAATGATCGTACTCTAGATACACTAGATACATATGGAAGTGAATAGGTTTCTTAAGGGTCGGCAAGGCGCATGTAATGCCCCAAGTGTTGCAGGCGTACATAGGCCACGGTAACAGCTTACCATCAGGTGGGCCGAGTGCTTTTTTGCCACCGTCGTGGTATAAAAAAACACTGAAATAAATTTTCATTTACAAGAGGAATTTCTTTTTGACAACGTTAAAAACCTCTACAAGTTCTCTAAGACATAAAATAAGGGTTAGGTACCTTTCCGTTTCAACTGAGTTAACTTCAAAAACAAAATAAAGAAACGATTTCGAAACAAAACAACACAATAAGCTTTTTCTTTTAAATTATGCAAAATAAGAAACAATGATGGGAAATCAAGTGGACTGTGGAACGATTCAACCCTCAGGATGTCGTTGCGACAAATGAATTAACCCTCCAACGCCACAGGGGGCCCGAGAGACCCGACCGTGAAAAACCCGAGTGTCGGTTTTCACACGATTCCGCCTATGTTTTTCTTTTCATGCATAAAAGATTTTTTTGTAATAGAATTTGGAATCTGGTAACGGATTGATTTTGAATTTTTAAATCGACACTCGCGAATGCGTTTTATATTTCAGTTGATGAATTTAAAAAACCTTTTATGTCAGCGAAACAATAAATATGCATATACACCGTAAACCTAATAGGCTAATTTGAGACAAACTTTTAGATTAAGTAAAAACTACTAGTTTCTATAGGCTGCGCTACATGCAACGCTGCAACCGCGCACGCTGCTTATGAAGTCATAATTAAGAACCCCTCTGTGGTTCGAACGTAGTAGAGCTTTTCTCACTATATTCACGTGAGTAACCCGCGATTTTTAGTTACTTTAGTATGTCTCACGATAGTTATTATAAAATCTTATAGACTAATGAAAAGTTCCTATTGGTTCTGGATTAAAGTTACCCCAGCGGGTCATAGTTACCCAAACTTACCCGGTACCCATTACAACTGCAAGAAAATAATTAATCAGCTCACTAAACTCTAAAACTCAAGATAAATATAATTAAATAAAAACAGTATGAAATCATGAGTCTCCAGTAGTCAGTTAAACTTTTAACTGCGGTTAAGAGACAAAGTTATCGAATAACTCAAAGTTATCTTTATGAAGGTAGCAAAATTTTTTACATGTCATTTTATTTTTGACATGATTCAGATAGTGGTTGACGGTGACAGAAGCATTGCATTAAGTTTTTTTTTCTTAAAAAGAAGGTTAGACGAAGGAATGGTATATTATAATTTAATAGCGTTGGGTCCTGTATGATTTTTATGATTGGAAAAGTAATATAAATAAATATATTTATATTTATACTTTACTCACATTTTTAAATAGTGGACATTTGTATTTGTTCTTTTGTATTGTTTTTGTTTATATGTACGTACTACTGTGCGCTCTAAATTGTTAACTTTTGTATGAAATATTGTTTCTCAGTAAGTGAATTATGTATGTGATTCTTTATGAGAAATAAAGATATTCTAAACTGAAAAGTGTCTAGAGTTACTCATTCGACTAATGTAAATGTTTGTATGTTTTTATGTTTGTTTGTTTGTGGCTCCTTCATGTCAAAACGGCTGAAGTGATAGGGGTGAAATTTGGAACACGGGTAGTTTATGGTCTAGTATAACACATAGACTACTCTATTGTACAGTAACGCGGGCGAAGCCGCTGGTAGAGGCTAGTATCCGAATAATGTAAACTTTGCTTTTCGATAGTTATGTTATAGTGTGAACAAACTGATGAACACTGAACTCTATTTTAAATTCCGTGCAAGAATCACTAAAATTTATGGATATTCGTAAATTATACGAAAACCTAAGATTGCCCTCTACAAACTGTACTGAATTATTTAAAAATATTAAATAAAATTACATTTTGTTTTATTACCCAGTAGTTGCAGTCAAATAATTTTATTTCGTTACGGGTGGTCTTTTAATCCAATTATTGTGGGTTATTAGGGTTATAAATATA